TGACTGAATCGCCTGCGCGTCGCCTGTTTCATTGCTTCCAATTACAGCTTTTATTAGTAGGGCTCCTTTCCTCCTTTATTTTCTCCACCAGACACTCTGGAGCTCAAAAGTTAAGTTCATTGAAAATTCAGTCCTAGTTGTAAAGTTTAATAAAGCCTCCATGTTTTTTAATCGCACTCTGTTGTTGAAGCCGTAGATTTAATCCAGTTTATTTTGTAGCCATTTCAAGCAGGGGCGGATTTAGGAAATATGGGGCCCTAGTCAAAGACCAGCAGGGGGCCCTCTGAATTGAGAAGACAACACATTAAACAGACCCATTATACAGACATTTTTATTGACTAGAGAAACACTTTGTTCTACATTTTGTCCCTCTCTTCTTATCCCTTTTCTTGCTGTTTTCTTTCTGTTTTCTTTTGTCCCTTTTTCTTTTCATATTGTCAATGTGCTCAGCTGACTTTCCATGCTATCTCATAAGAAATTAAAGTTTTTTTCCCAGCCCATTCTAACTTAGCTGATTACTCATTCCTGTGTTTCAAAAAAGGCGAAAGCAAAAGTAAATAACCCAGTCCTTCTTTTAGCTGTAGACAAGCCATGATCTGCTTATCTGTTCTCCATTTTTCATTTGGATGAAATAATAGCTGCATGAATCATGACAGCAGACAAGATAGAGGAGAGCAGGAGGCGGGGCTACCAATCTACTTGCTCTGGAGAGCAGAGTTCGCTGCTTTTAGATGTTGTCTCCAAAGTCTCCAGTAACAGAAAAAAGTCACTAGATTTGGTGCTAAGCACTTTTTTGTTGTTTAATGCGCTAGAGGGGTCTGAAAAGCACAAATAAGGAATAGCTGTAATAAACATACATGTAAACAGAGTTTTATGGGGCCCCCAGGAACTTGGGGCCCTAGGCAACTGCCTAGTTTTGCCTAATGGTAAATCCACCCCTGATCTCAAGGCACTTTGCAGAGACACTTCAATCAGATCATGCAAACAGTCTGGTAAAGCTTTTACATCTAAGGAAAGTGGCTGATTGAGATGAGGCATTGACCTTGCGGGATCCACAGTGTTTATAGATTGCATAAGCATTAATGGTATATTCAACATCATCTACATTGATGATGTGTTTCCATAACCTGACTCCGCCAGATGGATTTGCTCCGCATATCCATCTGGAAACCTTCCGTTGAAGTAATTTTGGGAAGGGGCGAAAATACTGGTTAGCTGATTGGCCCATGTTGGTGATAGACGGGCAAAATAAACTAATCAGATCAACCAAGCATATGACGTAACAGAGCGACGACGAAGAGGAGCCAATTGATAGATCAAACTCTTGCCGAAACCAGTCGGGAGAAGAGCAAAAACATCTTTTCCTCTGAGAAAAGCCTCCAGAGCAGTGTTTTGCTCTTCTTTCAGTGAAGAAATACTCTGTAATTCCGATAAAACTTGCTCGATAGCCACGCTAACGCTAGTTTCATCGGCTGAAGCCGCCATGTTCTTTAGACTGAACTGTCGCGCTTCTCGTTGCGTCACACCTCAACCCGCCTCAAAGCCAACGCTGATTGGACGTTCGTTTGGTGAACGGCTCCAAATTTTCTTTAACGGAGAGTCTCCAGACTGATCTGCGAGTGGAACCTTGAAAGCTCGCAAGATCAGGATGGTCTCACTAGGCTAGTGTTTCCATGGTTTCCACAATGGAATGACAAAAGGAGAAGCAAAGGCAGTTAACCCCATTAAACTGAACAGTTAACCACTGTGACTGTCCGAGCCAGTAACGCCCACTTTTCACATGAAAAAGTAGGTCAAACATGGTCCAAATTTTCGTTCTCCAAAACCCTTAAAGGTGGAGGCCTAAATGTTCTTAAACTAGCCTTTTTTTAATACTGTTTTTTTCTGAACACAAAGACTATATTTAATGCCCTTTGCAGCATGGCACATTCTTCCTAAAACACATTTTTTGGACTAGGGGTGTGGGAAATAATCCTTTTGGCGATATATTATGATATTCGGCTGCCCGATATAATATCGACCTTTCACAACATGTTTACCTACAACAATGAGGGAAAATGTGCTACCTCTGCACCGCCACTCTGGCAGATGGCGCTCTGGAGCCATTTTGTTGTGCAGCACAGCACCATTCGGTAGTTCAAACCCCAAACAACATGGATACCAAAATAACAAAATAATCAATATCTTCTGATGAACATATACAGCACTTGCTTTATTTTATCTATTCATTTGATTTTGTTACCTGGGAAAAATATCGCAATATATAGTGATATAGCAATATGGTGATAATATCGTATTGTGACCCAAGTATCGTGACATGTATCTTATCACAACACCCATATTAACACTCACCCCTATTTAGGACACAGATGTAAAGCCTAAAGCATGCTCCTCCTCCATTGCTATTAGCACTAAAAACTCCAGTCAAACCTTTCCCAACTACCCTGTCGTGTTTGTTTGTGGAGGTTGTGTCACAAATTTCTCTGTGCTTTATGCATAGCTTGCTTTACAAATATCTAAGAAAGTAATCAGTAATATGGAGCATATATGTTGCCATTAAATGCTCTGTCATAGGCCATAAGTCCTACAATGGAAAAATAGAACTTTTATGTGACCTGGCTTTATATTATTAGGAAAAAACACATCAAATCTGCCCAAAGAGGAAACGTTTTGGCAGTACAACAACATTGCATTTAGACCAGATAATTGTGGATCAATAATACATTTTTCAATAATTTTTTTCTTCACTTGTGTAATGTCATACAGAAATTGCTTTGAAACTCCATGACTTATGAAAGGCAGTCAAAAATTAAGATCTTGGGGAGAAAGAGGGTTAAAGAAAGAATCCATAGTTAAAAATAAGTCTTTTGATGTTTTTTTCTTCTTTCTGCACAGTATATGATTACCTTTAGGATACAAAATGTTTATGAACATATTTGAAATTATGATTTAAAAGGGCCTCTTTAGGTGTTGTCAGCTAACAACTTAATACGGGGGACATGGTTCAACAGGCCCATCAGGAATAAGGTTTTACCTTGAAATAAGAACAAAAAGAGAATAATATGGAGGTGATAAGGAATTAAGAAGGGAATGAAACTAAAAAATAACATTAGTATAAAAAATAAAGCTTAACTGAAAAGTCAATCTGGAAGATTGACCCACCTGCGATGTCCCTCGTTCAGCTCCAGCCAATCACCTCTGGGGTCACATTTTCTCCAAAGCCAATCATTTTTCAAGATCCCCTTCATTTAGGTCCTGGCCAAGCTTCTCTCTCCCACACCCAAGCAAACTTTCCACCACCTACAGCCCATCTCCTCCCTCATTCTCAGTCCCAATCCCCCACTGGCTTATTCCACCACCAGCCTCCGGGCCCCGGGGGACGACTACTATCAACCTTTTCTGTGTTATTCATCCAAGCACATGCTGATTCACAGCATCGATGACTTCTGCCGGGACCTGATTGCCACAGAACATTTATTCATTTATGTCTTTATCTGCTTCTGTCTCCTTGAACCCCAGTCGGCCTCGGCAGATGGCCGCTCACACTGAGCCTGATTCTGCTGGAGGTTTCTTCCTGTTAAAAGGGAGTTTTTCCTCTCCACTGTCACTGCATGCATGGTCAGTGTAAGGGATTGCAGAGAGTCAATGAACCCTCGATATAAAAATTTTGAAGAATATGATTGTTACCTGTATAAATAAATGGAAATACTTTTCTAATTGCAGCTTTTCTCTGAATCTGACCAGGTTGAAATAATTTTAACCCTGTAATGCCAAATGTATCATATTTGATACGTACGGTTTCTGAAATGTTTTTGCGTCTAACTCCTTTTGCTTAATTTAATGGTAAAAATTTTGCTCAAAATCCTATTGTACACAATCAGATATACCTGATAACAGAGGGCAGAAGACTACATAAAAAATAATCTTGACTTATCGCATGGTAATAAATTATTAATATCAAAATTGTATTTTTGTTTTTTGTTTTTTCTTTTTACATATTTTGTTAAAAGGCCAAATAAGGACTTCAAACCAAAAAAAAGTAATTTTCTGTTTTGTTTTTTTCTTGGATTGGGCTTTAAAGGGTTAAAACTGAAAAAAAGAAGAAATGTTGGAACCGAAAGAAATGATTTAAGACTATAACGTTTTTTCTAAAGGGGGTCATAGAATGCAAAACCGAGTTCATTGTCATAGATGAATAACAATAGTTCAGTGGGTGAAATGGACGTACAAAGAAGTTCAAACCCCATCGACACCTCATTTCTCTCTCACAATTCTAAAGTTCCACCAGAATTGACGACAGTTTGGGGATGTTGCCTTATTTGTTTTTGGCCTGTACTTTTGTTGTCCCGAAACCAGAGAATATTTGGTGCTGGCGTCTTACTGTAGATGTCAGTCATCATACCACATCCAGTGTAATTTACTGTGAGTCCAGCTCCCACGCTGAGGAAGGCGGCAGTAAATCGAATACAAACCTGAATCTATAAAGTAGTTTCAATCATCTTTTCTCAGTTTTAAAAAGATTTTTCAAAAATATTTTGAGTTCCAAATTATTATTTTTTTTCAGTTTAAAAAACAAACATATTTTTAAACAACATTTACAACATTTCTAATTTACTTGAGATGTTATATATGTCATCTAGTCAAGCACATCTGTTGTTTTGTAAAGTTAAGTACTTGATGAATAACAGCTTTGCTTGACTTTAAGTTGCAGAGTTCAGATTGATTTGTTACTATGAGATACTATTTTATAAATCAGGCCATTGGATTTTTCACCCCACGTGTTTTAAACTTCCCAAACCCGAGCTTTAGGTAACTTCTTTGGTTTGCTAAACATGTCAGAGGCTATGAAGACACATTTCTGGACTATCAGAAACTTTCTGCATTCAGCTTTTGGTGTTTCTGATTTCTAATGCATCCAGCAGTTAACACCTGTTCTCTATGTCATCCTAACCAGCCTTACAAGTTGGTGTCTCCCTTTTCCTCACTCTCATCATCCTCAGACTTAACATCAGTGACAGCGACATGTTGACCTTCACTGATGGGGATGAGGTCACGACTCGGATCCTGGGACGCTACGTCGGAGGCAGCAGCCCCTTCAAACTGTCCTCCACCACGCCGGACTTGACCGTCACCTTTCACTCCGACCCTGCCGGGCTCGTCTTCGGAAAGGGCGAAGGTTTCATCATCAATTATATGGGTGAGTGCGTAGGAATATCTAGACCTGGACTCACCAGGCTGAAGCCACAGATTTGCCACAGATTTGAAGGAATACGATGGAGCATTAGGGACAGGCTAGAGATTTTTATTTTTTTATTTTTATTTTTTTTTAGAATAAACGAGTAGTATAAATTTGTAATATTACGATAATAAAGCAACATTACGAGAATAAAGTTGTAATATTACGATAATAAAGTAACATTGCGAGAATAAAGTTGTGAAGTCATCATACCACAACCCATTTCAGAAAGAAAGCTTCGAGCTCCGACCAGCAGATGACGGACGACCAGCTCCACCAATCAGCAACCTGAGTCCACTTTGACCTCCTGCTCAATTTGATGCTGGTTCGCTAACAGATGTCTTTATTAGTCAAACCAGAGCCAAAGTATAACTTCAGATGATGCTCAACATACGTCATTTTAGGGAAGAAAGTGCTTCTTGTACCAGTTGTCATAAAATACAACTTTTTTCTCGTAATTTTAGGACTTTATTCTCTTAATATTATGACTTTATTCTCGTAATTTTATGACTATTCTCGTTGTGACTTTTTTCTTGTAATATTACGACTTTTTTCTCGTAATTTTACGACTTTATTCTCGTAATGTTCTGACTATTCTCGTTGTGACTTTATTCTCGTAATTTTAGGACATTATTCTTGTAATTTTACGACTTTATTCTTGTAATGTCACAACTTTGTTCTCGTAATTTTGTGACTATTCTTGTTGCAACTTTATTCTCGTGATTTTAGGACATTATTCTTGTAAAGTCACAACTTTATTCTCGTAATTCTCGTTATGACTTTTTTCTTGTAATATTACGACTTTTTTCTCATAATTTTCCAACTTAATTCTCGTAATTTTACGACTTTATTCTCGTAATGTTATGACTATTCTCGTTGCAACTTTATTCTCGTAATTTTAGGACATGATTGTTGGAATTTTACGACTTTATTCTTGTAATGTCACAACTTTATTCTCGTAATTTTATGAGTATTCTTGTTGTGACTTTTTCTTGTAATATTACGACTTTTTTCTCGTAATTTTACAACTTTATTCTCGTAATTTTACGACTTTATTCTCGTAATGTTATGACTTTTCTCGTTGCAACTTTATTCTCGTAATTTTAGGACATTATTCTTGTAATTTTGAGGCTTTATTCTCGTAATGTCACAACTTTATTCTCGTAATTTTGTGACTATTCTCGTGGCAACTTTTTTCTCGTAATTTTAGGACATTATTCTTGTAATTTTACGACTTTATTCTCGTAATGTTACAACTTTATTCTCCTAATTTTGTGACTATTCTTGTTGCAACTTTATTCTTGTAATTTTACGACTTTATTCTCAAAATAGAAGAAAATAAATCTCTTTCCTGGCCCTAATACTCTGTCATGAAGGAGTAACATAAAAAGACCCTAAAGTTTAATTCTAATTCTATCTTTTTATTTTTATAGCTTTTTATTTTTTATACTCTACTATTAAAATGATTACTATTACTTTAAAAAGTGAAAAATAAATTGTGGGTGTTTATTGTTAGTGTTTAGTTTTTTGTTATTAGGGTTGTTTTGTCAGTGAGAAAAGTGTGTCTGAGCCTGAAAGACCAGAAAATGTTTCTTCCTGCTGTTTCACTAACGATGAGGCTGAGTCTCTTTGTCCACTAAATCAATTTGAACTGATTTTATTGAGCTACACTGATTGTTGTGAACTGAAGATTTCTGTAATCATTTAAGGGGAAGAAGTATTTAAAAAGAGCAGGCTAAATAAATCCCTAAAAGGAAGATTTAAGTATAAACAATGGAAGGAATGTGTTAACATTAAACATTCTGATTTTATTTTTCATTTCTTTCTTATTTCTTCTCCATTAGCAGTGTTTTTACTTGTTTTCTATCAGCTTTAAGTTGTGTATTGGAACCATCAATTGTTGTGAGTATCATATATTCAAAATGAGTAACTAGATGATTTGTACTTAAAATCTGCAACATATTTTCAAGGTAGTTATAAAGGGAAGAGTTAAAACACAACAGCCAAGCCTGACAGTCTAGAAATGGGCAGAACAAAGAACTATGAAAAAACGAATCACTAACCAACCAATCTGTGTATTTTATGTATGGCTGTTTCCTGGGTCAGTGCTTTATCTAATAGGGTGATGACTTCTCAGCTTTTCTCCTCACAAATGATTTACTGTAGCAACGTTTGCGTATTAATGACTAAAATGATGTTTATTCCAATGAAATATGCACAAATCACTTTTAAAAAACTCCCTATTACTGTCAACAGGACTAAAGTGAAACTTTTTTCTTAGAGGGAGGTTGAAGCCTTTAGAGTTGCAAAAAAAATATAAACAAAGAAAACAGTTGCCTCCTTAAGGGCTGGTTATACTGTCGCTGCAGCGTGTCGTAGTGAGCTTGTCGCTAATTTATTTATTTTTTTATTGATGCCCAATATTGAAGCGTGCTCTGCGCTATGTTATTCCACGCCACAACGCAAGAGGGACAATCAGGAACTAGCTGTGGGTCTAGATACGGCCGAGGTGGTGAGGAAGTGGGGGCAAGTTAGTGCGACAACGGAGGGACATGAGGGCGAAAAAAAGCGGGGATCCAGGTGGAAAAAGGGTCCCAGTGTTCTTGCGCACCTCGCTATTCTAGCTGGTCCATCTTCACAAGTTGTTTTGCAAAATGGCGGTCATACAAACAAAACAAGCCAGTAAGGTAACAAACTGGAAATATGCATAGTATAGAGTGGATGTAGATTTGACCAATCAGAGGCCTCCTGTCTACGGTCACCTATAATTTTTGGAGAGGTGCAGCAGAGTGTCTGCGGCAGGGGCGGGGGCATATTTGCATTCACTGCAACACACACGGACAACCTGGTTTCTGAGTGTCAATCAGCCTTTAGGTGTGAGGGTGTGCGTGAATGGTTGTTTGTCCTGTTTGACTCTGTGTTGCCCTGCGACAGACTGCTCACCTCTCCAGGCTGGACCCCGCCTCTCGCCCACAGGCACCAGGCCCACGACGACCCTGACAAGGATTAATCAAGAGAAAATGGATGGGTGTTAAATTCAAAGGGTGTCTGTGGATAGAAGCCAATGAGAAGCCCCCAAAAGTTTGGGAAACCCTTTTCTAAAAAAAGATCCATAATGGAGGATGTGTTTGCTTGCTGATTGGAGAAGAAATAAAAGGGGTGATAGATCAGCTTAAGCAGAATATCAGTTTAGAGTGTTAGAAATGGGCAATTGCAACTTTTTGGTCAGTTATATATTACCTTTAAAAAGATGTTTGCTTTGAGATTAGTTTAACAGGAAGTCATGTGAGGTTGACAGTTTGTTTTCATTCTTATTTGTTTGGGAGTGTGGAGACTAGTAGCCATTTGACATGGCGTCCATTGTGTTATTTGCCTTTTGGTTACATTTTCACACTTTTTGTTTTAAACTGAAATTTCCCAAGAACAACAAAAGACGGAAAAGCTGTATTTTTTAGTTCATTCATTTCAATTCTGCAATTCGTCCTCAAGCAGCCTCTTCCATTTTTCATGTTCTCTTTTGTCCCGTCGCGTTCTCATTTGGCTTTTCTTTCACTTTCCCTCTGCCCTGATTCAATCACATCCTATTTGTTTCAGCGACTGAACAACGGCACTCTTTCACATACAAGTGTGGGGTTTCAGAGGCTGCAGCTTCCTCTGCTCTTTTCACGGCGTGATCTCCAGTGCTTCTCAGATTCAACACCTGAAACCAATTTAGGTTCGCGCTGAGACACATGCGGTCCAATTTACTTGTCACCCTCTCGACATCACAAACTACCACGCATTTCCCAGAGGAGTAAATTATGTAGACACAACAAGAGGGCTACTCTTTTTGCATATGAGCACAAACATTCAGGCTGCATAGCGGAGGATGAACAAGTCAATAGAAAGTGATAAATTGATCCCAGAGCTTCAACTTACAAATCCCTGCGGCCCTTTTAAAATGTATAGAGTTATGTAATCTGGTTAGCCAACAGTTCAATCATTAAATACACAAAGGGAACAACAAGACAAAATCTCCATATTGGCAGTAGCAGCCATTCAAAATGCTATTTAAATGGTCCTTCCCAGTCAAACGCCAGCTGAATGACAGCCTACTCCCCTGCAGCTCCGAGCAAAATCCCCTCCAACTTCCAGCCACTGGCCTTCTCCTGGGCATGCTCTTTTTTTTACTCTGACTCCACAATTTCACTGAATTACAGGGTCTGACCAGGAGATGACACTTCTCTTTAGATATAATGTCCATCCATCCATCCATCCATCCATCCATCCATCCATCCATCCATCCATCCATCCATCCATCCATCCATCCATCCATCCATCCCTCCATCCATCCATCCATCCATCCATTCATTTGTGATTTGAGGACCCAAAAGCAGAGGCAGGCAGGCAGATGTGAATTATAAGTAGATTTAATGATGAGTACTGAAACAAAGTCCAAAACCACAGGCAACAGGAATCCAAAATCCAAATGAAAACAAAGTTCAAAAAAACAAATGAGAAACCAAGAGTTAAAAAAAATTCAAAGATCTAAAGAAAAACATGAAAACACAAGTCAAACGTTACTAAAAACCTAGGAGTAATCAGGGGAAGAACTGTAACGAGGAGGAAGGCTCAGAGAGACGAGTTGGAGGAAGACTGACAAGGTTAGACGAGGACGCAGCAAAGAGGAACTGAAGAGAGAGGGCTTTTAAAGGAGACATATACCCCATTTACACTACCCTTGAAAAACCGTGCCGAGACCGGTCCAAGCTCAGTAACTGAGTTAACTTATCATGTGTAAATGGAAAGCAAACTGAACTGAACCGAGCTAACTGCAGACCAGTTCCAGAGGTGGGCTCGGCTCGGTTCTTCCCTGGCTCGGTTCTCTGATAGCAAGAGCACATGAGCAGAACGCGTCATCTCCGTCTGGCTGCACATCCCGATTCACACTCCATTCCAGTAGTTGGCAGTAATGCCCCTCC